GTTCGATCCTCAGCACCACATACAAACAAAGATGTTGTGCTCTCTTAAAAAAAAAAAAAAGGCAGGGTTTGGGGTTCTTTCGGGGAGTACATAGAAAAGATCTTAAAAAAAAAAAAGAAAAAGATAAAAGAAAAGTCCGCTATTTTCAAAGTGAACTTATGCATTTAGCAATTTCAGAAAACGAAAAGAAAATTTTATGTGGCCAAAATGTTATTAGAGATAACTATTGTTAACAGTATATAGATACATACATATATATAAACAGTATATATTAACCCCATATTTTTCTACGTTCACATACAAACTCAACATCTCCCATCTCTATTACAACATTTTCTTTTCCATTTAATGTCATAAAAAAAATCTTTTTTAAAAACCCTAAAAGCTGGGTGTGGTGGTGCATGCCTGTAATCCCAATGACTCAGGAGACTGAGGCAGGAGGATCAAAAGTTCAACTTAGCAAGTCTCTAAGCAACTCAATGAGACCCTGACTCTAAATAAAATATAAAGAAGGGCTAGGGAGGTGGCTCAGTGATGGAGTGCCCTGAGTTCTATCCCCAGTATTTAAAAAAAAAAAAAAAAAAAAAAATTTATTATCTGACTTAAAACCCACTTTGGCACTGAAAGAAAACTGAATATTTTGTGCACCTATCATCTACCCTCAAAAACGAGAATTTAAGTAACTTAGAGGACATGTAGAAGGTCATTCCAATGAAGAACTTATACTACTTACTCATGAGTGAGTATCTTACTAATATTAAGAGTTTGTCCTTCAAAAATTTTTCAGTTTCCAACTTGCTCTTTACCAAGTCCCATAGTTTTCAATCTCCCTTCTTGCTATTTCCACAGACACTAATCACAACACCTTACAAATTCATTTCCTCTGCTCCATTAATTTTTACATATAGTTGTTACAAAAATTTCACACATTTCTCTTTATTACTTAAGCCTCTATATGGAGGCTATATAATTCTTTATGGCATCTGAAGGAAAATGAGTACCTTTACTATCAAAGCTATTTAAAAAAAAAAAGTCAAAAGTCCTAGGAAGATTAACATTTGTTGAAATCAAGTATTCTTTTTTTCCAAATAAACATTTTTTTCATAATTATATATTTATCTAAATATATATTTATTGAAGAATATATATGTAAAAGTTATTGGTTGAAATCAAATATTCTTCTATGCATCATAGCTTGCTATTCAAATTACTCTTACAGAACTTAATATACAATAATAGTTGGTTCAATTTCTGCTCCCTCTGCTATTGTAGCACCTTTGAGGACAGGACTGAATGATTTTTTTAAAAAAATTTTATTAGTTATTGATGGACCTTTATTCATTTATTCATTTATTGTGGTGCTGAGAATCGAACCCAGTGCCTCTCACATGCTAGGCAAGTGCTCTACCACTGAGCCACAACCCCAGCCCCACCAATTTTTTTTTTTTTTTAATGCACTGGAGTTTGAACCCATGGGCACTTTACCACTCAGCTACATCCTCAGTACTTTTTATTCTTTATTTTGAGTCAGGGTCTTGCTAAGTTGCCCAGGCTGGACTCGAATTTGCAATCTTCCTGCCTTAGACTCTCAAGTCACTGGGATTACAAACAAGCGACACCACACTTGGCTATAATTTATCTTTGTATCTGCAGGACCTAGTTATAGTTCCAGTAATACATCTTCTCATTGAATATTAGCTAAGTGAACAGTCTCTGTGCACTTAAATTGTTATTACCAAAATTTATGTTCATCGTTTAACATAACCATATTTATGCCTCAGCAGGGAAGAATTAATATCATTGTCATATTTTAAGTAATAAACACACTTTAGCTCCAAAACTGCCCGCCTATAGCAGGCAAAAATCTTGTTTCAGTTCTAAATGAAAGTTTTATTGCTTAGGGCTCCTCTGCTGTGTCTGCTCCTCCTTTTCTTAGAAAACCTAACTACTCTTTGCCCAGTATATGCTATCTTCTAGAGTCCCTCTTTTCTGCCCTGATTAGTCAAAATATGTTTCAAATATGTGCTTAATTTCTTCATTTCTTCTTGCTTGAATTGTTGGTCTCTATTTACATCCCTGTCCTTCCTACACATCCTCTGTTTCTTAAAAATGTGAATACCCAGGTCAGGCACAGTGCAGCAAGCCTGTAATCCCAGTAATTCAAGAGGCTGAGTCAGGAGGGTGGAAAGTTCAAGGCCAGTATAGGCAACTCAGTGAGACCCTCAGCAATTTAGTAAGACCCAAAATAAAAAATATAAAAGACTGGGGATGTAGGTTAGTGGTAAAGTCCCCCTGAGTTCAATTCCCAGTACAAAATAATAAAACAAAAATTCAGTAGATCATGTCACTTTCATATTTAATAATTGGCATAGCTTCCTTACTGCGATTGGAATAAATTCAAACTTCTTATCATGGGCTGGGGATGTGGCTCAAGCGGTAGCACGCTCGCCTGGCATGCGTGCGGCCCGGGTTCGATCCTCAGCACCACATACCAACAAAGATGTTGTGTCCGCTGAGAACTAAAAAATAAATATTAAAAATTCTCTCTCTCTCCCTCTCTCTCTCTCTCTCTCTCTCTCTCTCTCCTCTCTCAATCTCTCTTTAAAAAAAAAAAAAAAAAACAAAACTTCTTATCATGACCTTCACGTTTTAATCTGATCAAGCCTTCTGTGCCAAAGTGTATAATTAATGTACATATAGAATGATCACTTACCTATTTAGGAAGTATCAGGAAAACCTCACAAAGAAATTAAGAATGAATCTAATTCAAAAAATTTGGATAACCAAATTGACATTTGAAAAGAATATTTTAAACAATATGAAAAAAGGCAAAATAAGCTTACCTGATCTATTTGATCTTGTTGTCCTTTGTATACAGTTTCAGGATCTGAAGGAGGCCGAAGATGAAATTCTGAGTCACAGAAATTTCCATCACCATCTACATTGTGCAGGCTTTCCCAAACAACTTTTTCTTCAGTAAGAAATCCCTGGTCTGTTACCAACAAATACAGTTGACCCTTAGTAAGAAATAACAAAAGAAAAAGTGTTAAAAAAATCAAAACTAATATTACATTTAATGAAAAATTTTAATCTGTATGTTTAGAAAGTATTAATTATTCCTGTAAGCCATTTCTGTACAATATAATAAATAAACTAGTTATCTTACTTGTTCAAATATGTCTGGCTTTGAATGTAGTTTATAATTAGCACACTACAATATGAAGAGAAACCCTTGGCATACTCACATATGATTTATAAACAGCTTTGTGTGGTTTGTAATATCATTTTGTAAAATAGAAAAATATTATACAAATTCCTGAAAAAGACATCAAGCGATAAAAACATGATACTACATTGCCTGGTTTTGTTATTTTGTAAATTAAGCCCATATGACTAATCTAAATTACACTAATTTTCTTTTCTCTGTATCATTATTGCTCTTGCTTTGTATACCAGTTGTATTTTGTTTGTGTTTCTACTGTGGCATCAAATCTCCTGGCACTATGATTGTGTTTTCTTGCCTTTTATTCCCCAGACTGTATTTTTATTTTATTTTATATTTTGATACTAGAGCTTGAATCCAGGACCCACTAAGCCTACATACATTTCCAGATCTATGAACATATAATTTATTTTTTATACTGAGTATTGAACCCAAAGGAATTTTACCACTGAGCTATATCCTCAGTCCTATTTGTTCATTTATTTGCTTATTTATTTTTATGGTACTGAAGATTTAACCCAAGGATGCTGTACCACTGAGTTATACCCCCAGCCCCTTTCTATTTATTTTGAGATAGGGTCTTGCTAAATTGTGTAGACTGGCCTTGAACTTGTGATCATTCTGCTTCATCCTCCAGAGTCACTGGAATTAGAGACATGAGTCACTGCACATAGCTAGAATATATTTTTAAATCTCTTTGGGCTGGGGATGTGGCTCAAGCGGTAGCGCGCTCGCCTGGTATGCGTGCGACCTGGGTTCGATTCTCAGCACCACATACCAACAAAGATATTGTGTCCCGAGAACTAAAAAATAAATATTAAAAATTCTCTCTCTCTCTCTCTCTTTAAAAAAAAAAATCTCTATTGCTGGGCCTACTATAAGTTACAATCACAATGAAAGAATTTAGCAATGACCACTAATTTTTCATGTGTGTTAGTTCTGATTCTAATCATATTAAATCTATATATTATGTATACTACATAAGGTCTGTATATTTCGTCAGATCTGCCAAAGTAAGACCTTTTGATACTTGCTCATAGTTCTCATTAGATAATAGTTAACATAGGGTTTACCATTGGTTCAAGAATTATACTTTTTCATGGTCTCTTATATTTATAATTAATTTCATCATACTACACCATATCTTTGCTTTACAATTTATTTTATTGGCTATTTGATAACCATAATCTTGTCAATATTTTTTCTCCAAATAGTACTTAAGAATAAATTCTCTCTCTGTCTCTTTTTTTTGTTGTTGCTGTTTTAAGGACTGAAATCAGAGCTTCATGTATTGCTAGGCAAGCAGCTCTACCTCTGAGTTACACTCCTAGTCATTTTTTTAATTTTTTAATTTATTTTCCTTGGTTTTATTTTTAGAGAGAGGTAAGTTGCTCAGGTTGGCCTCAAATTCTAGATCTTTCTGCATCAGCCTCCAGAGTGGCTCGAATTATGGGCATGTGTTCGCCTAATATTCACAATGCCCTAGGGTGGATTTCCAGTACACACAAAATAAATAAAGGAAATAAAATAAAATACTGAAAAACACAATTTCAGAAAAAATTGTGTTGTAACTCAGTGGTAGAGCACATGTGAAGCCTTGGGTTCAATCCTCAGCACCACATAAAAATAAATAAAGGTATTGTGTCCAAGCACAACTAAAAAATAAATATTAAAAAAAAATACAGAAGTTCTTATTAATGCATATAAAAATGATAAAGACAACACTAGAAAAATTTTACTTTTCTTAAAAATAGGCAATTGTAACTGTGTTACACATATATCCACAATGGAGTATTACTCAACATTAAAAGAGAATAAAATTATGGCATTTGTAGGTAAATGGATGGAGTTGGAGAATAGGATGCTAAGCAAAGTAAGCCAATCCCAAAAAACTGAAGGCCAAATATTCTCTCTGATAAGTGAATGCAGATCCATAATTGGGGGAGGGAGCATGGGAAGAATGGAAGAATTGTGGATTGGTCAAAGGAAAGGAAGTAGAGGGAAGGGGACATGGGGGTAGGAAAGATGGTGGAATGAGACAGACATCACTACTCTAGGTACATGTATGATTGCATAATGGTGCAATTCTATGTTGTGTACAACCAGAAAAATGAAAAGTTGTACTCCATTTGTATACAATGAAATGAAATACATTCTTCTGTCATGTATAACTAATTAGAACAAATAAAAAAATTAAAACAAATTTTTTAAAATAGGCAATTGTATTACAAAAGAAGACTGAATGAAAACCTATCCAAACAACCTCATAAATTAGTTGTAGTAACTTGTGTTAACAACATATCTGACAATACTGTAAAGATTTATAAATTGATAAAAAAAAATTCTCAAGTAAATTAATTCCAGTCTTTCAAACATGGAAGACTGCATTAATATTTTAGATTAATTAACTTGGATTCAAACTACTCAACATCTTTTGATCTTAGTTTTCTTTTCTTATGAGTGATATAGAGGTATTCTACGACAAGAATTTCTAAGTATTTTATAAACTACTTCTTCATTTTAATTTTTTTGGTACTGGGGATTGAACCCAGTGTGCTTTACAACTGAAGCCCAATCCTCTACCCTTTATGAGACAGGGTCTCACTAAGCTGCTGAGGCTGGCCTTGCACCTGGAATCCTCCTGCCTATGCTTCCTAGGTGACTAGGATAATGGGCATGAGCTACCTACATCTAAGTATTTTATACATTTTTAAGTTTATATTTATTTTTAAGTTTATATTTATGTGTGGTGCTGGGAACTGAACTCAGTACTTCCCACTTGCTAGGTAAGCACTCTACTTCTGGGCTATATTCTCAGCCACAATGCTTTTTATAATTTGAAATTTTATAATTTTTTTCTTTTCTTTCTTTTTTTCTTTTTGTGCTGGGGGATCAAAGCCAGGGCCTTGTGCTTGATAGGCAAGGACTCTATCAGTGAGATACATCACCAGCCCCCAAATTTCTGAGAAAGTTTCTAAGGTATTTTATAAATTGAAAGACAAACTTTAATAAAGCTACTTAACAAATATCAGTCTCATCCACATAGCTCCCCAGAGAGGCAGTGAGGCATTGCTGTTGACTTAAAAGTCATATTGGAGCTGCTTGCAAACTGAGTGTTCTTAGGCAAGTTAGAATCTTTAGGTCTGTTTCCTGGCTATAAAGTGAGAATAATAATAAATCCACACCCTATAGAGGAGTTGTAAAGATTAAATGAGATAATGAATGTAAAATGCTTAATACAATTCAAGCCACATAACTGCTTTGTTGTCTGCTGTGTGGACAAGCAAGGCAAAAGCTCTACCACTGAACTACATCATAGGCCCCATAATTGTTTAATAAACCAAAGATATTGTATTCATGAGTAATACCTAAATTTCAGTTTCTGTGTCTATCTTCTGTTTTCTATATAAGTGAAAAAGACAATATATCTCTTGCTACCATGCAATCATATTTCCATATTTCTCCCTTTCTCTTTATTTTAAAAGAAAGTGACAATTTTTAATGTATCAACCACTGTTATGGTTTGAATATGAGGTTTCCCCCTAAAACCCCTGGGTTAATGCAGGAGATAAAATGATTAGATTATGAGAGCTGTGACCTAATCAGAGGTTTAATTCATTTGATATATTAATAATATAAATGAACTAACTATGGTAAGTATAGGCATGGCTGGAGGAAATTAAATCACGGGCATACCTTTGGGGTTTATATTTCATTCCAGGCATCTCATTTGCTCTGATTTCGTTTTCATGAGGAAAGCAGCTTTCCTCTGCCACACCCTTTCACCATGATGTTCTGCCTCATCTTGGGCCCCAGGGTGATGAAGCTGGCCCACCATGAATTGAGACCTCTGAAACTGAGCCTAAAATTAAACTTTTTCTTCTCTAAATTGTTTTTCATGGGTATCTGATCAGTAACACAACAACTTTAAAAATAACTAAATTTAATAAATTTTTACTTAAATATAGCAGTTGGTGGGAAAACAATTGCTACCCTAGCCTTAGTCAAACAGGAAACAGAATAAACAAGTTTATTATTTATTTATGTATTTTTAACTTTATTTTACTTTTTGGTATCGGGGATTGAACTCAGGGGCACTCAACCATTGAGCCACATCCCCAGCCCTATTTTGTATTTTATTTAGAGACAGGGTCTCACTGAGTTGCTTAGCACCTCACTAAATTGCTGAGGCTGGCAATCCTCCTGCCTCAACCTCAGTCACGTCAGGCATGTGTTACTGTACCCGCCTTGTATTTATTATTTTTATGATACTGGATGTTGAACCCAGGGCCCCACACATGCTAGGCAAGTGCTTTTACTACTGCACTACATCCCCAGCCCAGAAACTTTTAAAATATGGCTTTAGTATTCACCCAGAATTTTAAAAAATTTATTTATTTATTTTTTTAAAATTTAAACATACACTTTATTTAACCTAATCCATACAAAATGTATCATTTCTATATGTGATCAATATAAAAAATTATTTTTTATTAATTATTTTTTATTAGTTATACATGACAGTACAATGATCTTGACAATTCATACATTTGAATCAAATGGGGTATAATTTCTCATTTTTCTGATTGTACAGGTTGCAGAATCACATTGGTCATATAGTTACCTATATACATACAGCAATAATTTTTTTTTTAATTTTTCTAATTCTTTTTTTTTTTAGAGAGAGAGAGAGAAAGAGACAGTGAGTTTTAATATTTATCGTTTAGTTTTCGGCGGACACAACATCTTTATTTGTATGTGGTGCTGAGGATCGAACCTGGGCCGCACGCATGCCAGGCGAGCGCGCTACCGCTTGAGCCACATCCCCAGCCCCTACATACAGCAATAATAATGTCTATTTTATTCTGCTGCCCTTCCCCTCCCCCGCTCCTATCAAATTTCTCACCCAATCTAATGTGACACACTTATTTTTATTTTTTCTCCTCACAACATCATACATGAGCATGCAATGGAGAAAGGATAGCATTTTCAACAAATGGTGCTGGGAGAACTGGAAATCCATATGCAACAAAATGAAACTGAATCCCTTTCTCTTACCATGCACAAAAGTTAACTCAAAATGGATCAAGAAGCTAGGAATCAAACCAGAGACTTTGCGCCTAATAGAGGAAAAAGTTGGCCTTAATCTCCATCACATGGGGGCAGGCCCCAAATTCCTTAATAAGACACCTATAGCCCAAGAGTTAAAATCAAGAATCAACAAATGGGACGAATTCAAACTAAAAAGTTTTTTCTCAGCAAGAGAAATAATATGTGAGGTGAATAGGGAGCCTACATCCTGGGAACAAATTTTTACCCTTCACACATTAGATAGAGCTCTAATCTCTAGAGTATACAAAGAATTCAAAAAGTTAAACAACAAAAAAATAAATAACCCAATCAACAAATGGGCCAAGGACCTGAACAGACACTTCTCAGAACAAATACACGAAAAATGCTCACCATTTCTAGCAATCAGAGAAATGCAAATTAAAACTACTCTAAGATACCATTTCACTCTAATAAGAATGGCAGCCATTATGAAGTCAAACAACAACAGGTGCTGGCGAGGATGTGGGTGGGGGAGGTACACTCATACATTGCTGGTGGGACTGCAAATTGGTGCAGCCAATTTGGAAAGCAGTATAGAGATTCCTTGGAAAGCTGGGAATGGGACCACCACTTGACCCAGCTATTCCTCTTCTCGGTCTATACCTAAAAGACCTAAAAAGAGCATACTACAGAGACATAGCCACATCAATGTTTATAGTAGCACAATTCACAATAGCTAGAATGTGGAACCAACCTAGATGCCCTTCAATAGAGGAATGGATTAAAAAATGTGGAATTTATACACAATGGAATATTACTCAACACTAAAAAATAACAAAATCATGGCATTTGCAGGGAAATGGATGGCATTGGAGCAGATTATGCTAAATTAGCCAATCCCTACAAAACAAATGTCTTCTCTGATATAAGGAGGGTGACTCAAAATGGGATAGGGAGGAAGAGCATGAGAGGAAGACTACCACTAAATAGGGAAGAGAGGTGGGAGGAAAAAAGAGGGAGAAGGGGAGTTGCACAGAAGATGGAAGGAGAACCTTATCGTTATACAGAATACATGTATGATATTGTGATGAGAAAAAGAAAAAAATAGTGTGTCACATTAGATTGGATAGAGAGAAATGATGGGAGGGGAGGGGAGGAGTAGGGGGAATAGGAAGGGCAGCAGAATAGAATAGACATTATGACTGCTGTATGTATATAGACTCTATGACCAGTGTGATTCTGCAATCTGTACAATTAGAAAAATGAGAAATTATACCCCAATGATTCAAATGTATGAATTGCCAAGATCAATGTAATGTCATATGTAGCTAATAAAAAAATTTTAAAAAAAATAAATATTGGGTCTTACCATGTTGTACAGGCTGGCCTTGAACACAATGATATTCCTACTGCAGCCTCTTGAATAGATTATAGGTGTGCACAGATAAATCTTAGTGTTTACTTCACAAGCATCCATTATTAAAAGTCACCCTAGTTCTTTCTACTTCTAGGATATTATCTCCCCCTTCTAGAAAATAAATATTTTTTAATGTGGTAATCTGTGAACAATTGCTAATCCGTTCCATCCTAAAAGTATTTAATAATTACTTTCATAATTTGATGGTTAAGGAATACTATCCTATAATCTTTTATTTTGAAGAAAATCAAACAATATCTCTAAATCAAGCTCCTTTGACTTAGAATAATAACTGAATAGCTATTTCTATATCATACCTTGTATTTGGTCATGGTGCTAAAATGATTATTCCGAAAGAACACACAAAGTTCTCCTTCCTGAACGGTTGAAGTTAGTTCACATAATCCATGGTATGTCAGTTGAGTGGCTGTATTATTTAGAAACTGCTCAGCTACAAAGCCTATGGAACCAATGCACAATATTAGATGTACAATAGTAGATGGAAGAAGAATTTCAAAATTAAAAATTACTCTTTTCTATTAATATTGTGTTCAAGTATATATAAAGTCCAATCAATATAAAACTTTTCCTATGATGGTGGCCCCAAATTGGAGATTCATCTTTCTAATTTAGGTATAGAAGTTATATCTACAGTTGTTCCCATCCTAAATAAACTGTTAGGTGACAGCTTATAATAAAAGACACAGACACTTTAATTAAACTAAAACCCCTTAAAACAAATACAAATGGGGCTGAGGATATAGCTCTGTGATATAGCACCTGCTTCACACATGTGAGGCACTGGGTTTGATCCTCAGCACCACATAAAATAAATAAAATAAATAAAGATATTATGTCCATCTACAACAACAACAACAACAAAATATATATATATATAAATAAATTAAAAACCAAGGAGTTAGCAATTTAAAATGTGGGTAGGAAAGATGTATGTCCAACATCTACTGCCCCAATGGCGAGATGTTTAGAAATTACAAGTAGCCTTCACAAATTACCTTAAGACAAATTGCCTAAAAAATTGTTACTTAAGTAGTCCTGAGCTTTTAACAGAGATCCCAGATAATTCTCAAGTGTAAATTGTTAAATTCTTTCCTTAAATCTAAAAGTAGGCATAAAACTCAACAGAAAGCAGTAGGATAGTTGGTGCCATTTTTATCCTAATCTCCTCCAACACATGCCACTCATTATGTAGATATACAAAGTTTAGAAATAGATATTATCTCTTTTCTTTCTGAAACAGAATGAAATATACAGAAGTTATCTGAATTTTTAAAAAATATTTATTTTTTAGCTTTAGGTGGACACAATATCTTTATTTTATTTTTATGCGTGCTGAGGATCGAACCCAGTGCCTCACACATGCCAGGCAATCGCGCTACTACTTGAGCCATATCCCCAGCCCCAAGTTGTCTGAATTTTATTTTAAAAGATATATGGTACAGTTGAATGAGTTCATGTACTAGCTAAAAGTTATTTATAAATACCTAAAAATCAGGGGCTGGGGATGTGGCTCAAGCGGTAGCACGCTCGTCTGGCATGCGTGCGGCCCAGGTTTTGGCTATCCTCAGCACCACATACAAAAAACAAAGATGTTGTGTCTGCCGATAACTAAAATAAATAAATAAATATTTTAAAAAAATACCTAAAAATCAATACTCATAGCACTTCAATGGTCATTTGGGGATATCTGAGGATAGCCAAAAAATCTGAATTGCCCAGTAACACTCTGCCTTGTTATTTCAGCTCATACCATAGACAAGTGTCCTTTTCATGGTCTATTTAGTGTCATGTTTTTCATATTTTTGTACGTTTTGTTGGTGTTTTTTCTGTTTGAAATATTGCCCCCACCCAACTGTCACTCAAGTGTAAGGTTAATGTAATAGCTGGTACTAAGTGGAGAAAGGCTGTGATGGAGAAAATACATGTCGGATAAGCTTTGTTTAGGCATGAATTATAGTGTTGTTGGCTCTGAGTTTAATGTCAATGAATCAATAGTATATTATTAAATAAAGTATTTTAAAACAGAAACACTCATAAAATAAGGTTGTTGACTGGTTGATAAAAAATGATCTAACCAAGCCAGGCTTAGTAGTGCACACCTATAATCACAGTAGCTCAGGAAGCTGAGGCAGGAGGATCATAAGTTCAAACCCAGACTGAGCAATTTAGTGAGGCCCTAAGCATCTCAGTGAAACCCTGTCTCAAAATAAAAAATAAGAAGGAAAGGAATGTGCCTCAGTGCTTAAACGCCCCCTCCCAAACACGCCCTCCCCCCCAAAAAAAAATTTTCTTGCCTAGGAACAATACTTTAGCGTTCACTAATTCCTTGTTCAACATAAAACATTACCACTGCAAACAATGAGAATCAACTGTATAAATATTTTTTGAAACATGTATTTCTCTTTCCCTTCTTTTCCTCTTCCTTTAGTAGAAAAAAAATGTCTCAGGAGCACTAAGTGGGGAGGTTCTTCTAAAGAGTTTTATAAGTAAGCTGAGAGGTGCAGATATAGGGAATAAAGATGAATCTGTAATAAGAAACTAATGCCTCAATAAGAAATTGAAAATAAACTTGGGGAATGAGATGATCATTATTATCCAAAGTATAGGTATGAAGACATGAAAAATTGTGCTCTATATGTGTAATAAGAATTGTAATGCATTCTGCTGTCATATATAAATAAATAAATAAACCTGGTAGAAAGTTGGCAGGCCAGAAGGCTAGGTAATGTATTTATTCAACTGCCTGTGTATTCCTTGGTAACAAGCCATAGCACTTCAAGCTGCAAAATGGTTGTAAAAATGTTAAAAATACACACACTATTCCAAGGACTTGATTAAGGTAGGAAGGGAAGTGCAAAAGTTAAAGGAGGCTACAATCAAAGGAAATTGATAGCATAACTGCAAACTTTTACCAAGTAGAATATATAGTTTTAAAAATGAAGCATTTTGTTTATGCTGCAAAATACCACTCCTGTCTATAATATCCACATTGTTAAATGCTTCTTTTTTTTTTACCTGTATTTATTTATTTATTTTTATGTGGTGCTAAGGATCGAACCCAGGGCCTTGCAACTACAACCCAGCCCCCTAAATGCTTCTTTCAGAAAGATGTTTCTAAATACTCTTTTCACAGTCACTCACATACATTCTCTCCAAACCCCTTTAAAAAAATAAAAAGATACAAAAAGCCAGGTGTGGTAGCACATGCTTGTAATCCTAGTGGCTCAGAGGCTGAGGCAGGAGAATTGCAAGTTTGAGGTTAGTCTCAGCCACTTAGCAAGGCACTAAGTAACTTTGTGAGACCATCTTAAAGCAAAAAGAGCTGGGAATGTAGCTCAGTGGTAGTGTCGTAGTCTCCTTTCCCCTTGCCAAATACAGATACAAAAATTCAGAGGACATACAGTACATTAACCTCATGTTAGTGTGAAATTCAAATATTTAATGCTAGAAAGGTCTTTGCTAGAAAAGTCTTAGCTACATTTTTGTCTTTTTTTTTTTTTTTTTTTACAAAACAGGAGTTAGACTCACAGAGAATAAATGACTTGCTCAAGGACATTAAACTAGTTATGGTAAGACTGGAATCCAGGAGACTTATTAAAACTGATATTAAAACATTTAAAGATTTAGTGCAGATGATCATAAATACATGGGTCCTTAAATTACAAAGCAATAACTATTAAAAATTACAAAACACAGTATTTCCCAATTCTGCATCTGTAAAGCAGTGGTTATAGTAGAGTATTGAAAAGACTAATCTAGGTCCAAATTTCTATGATGAATTAAACAAATGTTGGTATATAACTCCATGTTATGTAGTATTTACTTAAATGTATTGCTTCAAATACCAGCATTTCAAATAATATAGAGTTTATTTGCAGCATTCAGATTACATTTCAACTTTTTACAGATATAGTGATACTAAAGGTAAAAAGCCACTAATATAATGATAATATTAAAAGATTATTACTGAAAATAAATTTAAATTAAGCACTCTTTCTTAAAAATTCTTTTTCTATATTTTAATTGGTACGTTATAGTTGTAAATAATGGTAGGATTTGTTATTATACATTTTCACATGAACATATATCACTTTTTTGGGGAGTATGGAGATTGAACTCTGGGCACTCAACCACTGAGCCACATTGTGTTTTATTTGGAGACAGGGTCTCACTGAGTTGCTTAGTGTCTCACTTTTGCTGAGGTTGGCTCTGAACTCACAATCCTCCTAACTCAGACTCCTAAACTGCTGGGATTACAGGGATGTACCATTGTGCCCGGCCAATATCACTTTTTTTTCCTAACAAGATCATTATACTCAAAAATATTTCTTATATTCAGAAATTCAATTATAAATTAGATTTATCAATTTTTTTTCTGTTACTAGAAAGTTATTAGGGAATATGAATGCTCTTATTCCCTTAAAGAAGGTGAAGTTAGGAAGAGAAGCACTAAAGTTAGGCAAAAAGGAATAGAAAGTAGAAATAGGAGGAAAGGAAACAATTTATATTCTTAAATATATTTTTTTTTTTTAAAGAGAGAGTGAGAGAGGAGAGAGAGAGAGAATTTTTAATATTTATTATTTTTAGTTCTCGGCGGACACAACATCTTTGTTGGTATGTGGTGCTGAGGATCGAACCTGGGCCGCACGCATACCAGGCGAGCGCGCTACCACTTGAGCCACATCCCCAGCCCTATTCTTAAATATATTGCCTAGATGTAATCTTGTCTGAGATTTGCATTCAAATTTAAGCTTGGATAAAGCTGACACAGACATCAGAGTTTTGTTTTTAAGGCAAATTTAAGCTTGGTCAGAACTTTGTCACTGTGACAGCTTTAAACATATTGTTAATTTTCTTTTTGTAATTTCAAATTTCAAAAATCATAAACATTAATGTGTTTTTTTCCACAAGAGGAGAGGCAAAACACTTTCTCTCTCTCTCTTTTTTCCTTGCTAAGTTGCTTAGGACCTTGCTAAGTTGCTGGGGCTGGCTTTGAACTCAAAATCCTCCTATCTCACCCTCCCGAATTGCTGGCATTACAGCCACCTCCACATTTAGCCACAAAACAATTTTTTCATGTGACAAATGCTCAGATTTTCTTTAAAAAGATGGAGACTTTGGGCCAGGGATGTGGCTCAAGCGGTAGCGCGCTTGCGTGGCATGAGTGCGGCCCAGGTTTGATCCTCAGCACCACATACAAACAAAGATGTTGTGTCCAACGATAACTAAAAAATAAATATTAAAATTCTCTCTCTCTCTCAAATATATATATATATAAAGATGGAGACTTATATGGTTCCAGGGAAGCAGGAGGGAGACAAGAACATTTCATTGTGCCAAAAAATAAAGGGCTCAAAAAATGATAAGGATTTAGCAGAACAGGGGACCCAATGTGAAGGCATCCTAATGGCCACATCTGGAACAATTTAAGTGTCAAAAAGAATAATTATAATAATAATGAACTATAACATCCTAATTAAGAATCCATGACTGGCTTTCGAAGCTGAGCAGGAGGATTGTGAATTCAAAGTCAGCTAGCTTCAGCAAAAATGTGCTAAACAACTCAGTGAGACCCTGTCTCCAAATAAAATATGAAATAGGGCTGGGGATGTGCTCAGTGGTCGAGTGCTCCTGAGTTCAATCCCCAGTACTCAAAAATAAAAATAAAAAAAAGAATCCATGAGTTTATGTTGATATTATTGTTATTCTTTTTTTATCGAGGGATGGGGAAGAAAAGAGAAAACCATCTTTTACAAAAGAATAATAATAAATGTAGATAGAATAATAAAAGTATCATAACCACCACAGAAATAATTAAGGCAAGAGTAGATGGATACACAATTTCCTGGGCAAATGATTTATTAAGAACAGGACATTCACAGTTTCAGTGCAGAACAACACTGGTTACTTATTAATTATAAAGGAAAAAGGAAATCTGTACAATGAAAATTTGGCCTGTACCTTGATCAAATTAAACATCACCAATAATGGGATAATCAGCCATGTGCCCCCTGATTTTATGCCTTAGGAAGAACACAATGTTATCTATGCAGCATACTGCCAAGAATATATAATTTAAACCTACTTATGAGGAAACAATCAGATAAATCCATATTAAGAGCTATTTTATAAAACAACTGGCTTGGACTATTGAAATTAAAAGTCAATTTCACAGTATTTTTTTTTTTTAAAAGCAGGAAAGAAAAAAAAAAAGGAAAAACATTAGGAATCTCTTCTATATTATAGGAAACTAAAGACAACTAATTGATCTTTGATTAGAGCCTACACTGAAAAAAATTAAAGCTTTAAGGGATATTATCGGAAAAACTAAAAAATTCTAAATATTAACCTTATATTAGGTAATACCGTATCAACGCTAAATTGCATGAGATAATGATATTGTGATTATAAAGAAGACCTTAAACAGGTGAATTTCTTTTTCTTTGGAGACAAATGATGAAGCACTGGTGGGTTAAAAAAAGTACTATGATACTTGCAACTAATTGTCATGATTTTTAGGGCAAAAATGTGTGTGTGTGCAGAAATATAGAAAAAAGCAAATATTCAATATGATAATAATTGGTGAATTTAAGAAAAGTGAATATAAATGTTCATTGTGCTGTCCCAACTCTTTTGTGGGTTTGAGATTCTCAAAAATAAAAGCTGAAGAAAAAAGAAACTAATATTATTTAATAAAAAAATGTGATTCAATCTACACTATTTAGTGTTTACACCATATAATACAGTTTCAATAAATTTTTGGTTAATTGAACAAATATCCTGGAATTATTTTTATAAGCATATCATTATCCTAAGAAAAATTGTTTAAAAAAACAATTATTCCTAAGAGAGTATCTGGAATTAAAATTCAAGCTCTAGTGAAGTCTGGCAGCAGGTACTATTTTTTTTTCCTTATTGATGTTGGTGTTATGACACAATCCATCCTTTTAACTAGATCAGAAAGTATTGACATTTGAAAGAAGTAGCAAATAATATGTATTCTATGTACACGTAAAAGTTCTATGCTTTTTCTTATAAAGTGTCAGCACCAAAATAAAATGAACATTATATAAAAGAAGTTGAAAGACTTTCTAATTCTATGTCAGCTAAATAACATTTTTTTCCTAAAAAAAAAAAAAAAAAGTTACTAAAAGTATTTCCTGCACCCTGCACCTTGATAACAAATGAAATGTTTGAAAAAAAAAATAATTATCATCTATGACCAAAGCTTTTAAAATTAGAAACAAACCAGTCTGGCATATTTTACTGATTCAAAAGGAATCAAGCTGTGATTGTAGCTCAGTGGTAGAGTGCTTGCCTGGCACGTGTGTCACTGGATTCCGAAGGAAGGAAGGAAGGAAGGAAGAAAGGAAGGGAGGGAGGGAGGGAGGGAGGGAAAGAGAAAGAAGGAAAGAAGGAAAGAAGGAAAGAGAGAAAGAGAGAAAGAGAGAAAGATAGAGAAAGAAAGCAAGCTAGCTATGCTGTCCATCTACAACTGCAAAAAAATAAAATAATTTTTTTTTTTTTTTAAAGGTACAGTTGAAGGCTAAATAGAAAAACAAAGCAGACTACTTCATTGAACACTATATATCCGGGCTGGGGATGTGGCTCAAGTGGTAGCGCGCGCGCCTGGCATGCATGCGGCCCAGGTTCGATCCTCAGCACCACATACAAACAAATATGTTGTGTCTGCCAAATACTAAAAATTAAATATTAAAAAAATTTTCAAAAAAAAAAAAAGAACACTATATATCCAAGAGTGCTATGGCTTGGATATGAAATGCAGAGTTGGGGATCTGGGGAAGTGATTGGATGATGAGGGAAACTGTAGGGGCCTATTGGAGGAAATAAGTCCCTGGAAGGCTATTTCTCGTCATCCACCCTTTCCCCCACCTGGGTGAAAACAATGGAGCCAGCCAACCATATATTAAAACCTTTGAGTAAAAAAGAAATCTTTCCTCCTCTATTTTGTTTTTCTTAAGTTTATTATTCCATCAACAAAAAGCTAATGCCAAGAGAACATGATGAAGAAAAATGATGGAGGAAAGATAAATGCTATTGATAAATAAAAATCATACATGCTAGGTAAATGTTCTACCACTGAGCTACATCCCAGCCCTTTCAATTTTTTTTTTGAGAAAAGGTCTCATTAAATTGCCCTGGCTGTCTTAGAACTTGTTTCCTGCCTCAGTCTCCCCAGTTTCTGGGATTACAGGTGTGCACCACTATGCCTGGCTGTGGTCTTTTCTTTCTGATGCATGATTTCTTACCACCTTATAAAAGTTTTTGTAATTTTTTATAAACAAAAAACTAGTTTAGTTTTTTAATTATACTGAATTCCACATATAATTATTTTTTAATATGAAAAACTATTATGCATAATTTCACTATTACAGAATTTGTATATGAAAGAATTAATCAATAAATATGCTTAGTATATATTAACTGAAAATTATATGCCACTATAGAGGGAGATTATTTCCTTGCTTTTATCAAGACATTCTCCTCAAATTACTGATACTACATAATTTAGCAATAGTTTCTCACTATCCTGGGGAATCAATGTCAGAGAAATAAAAGGTATAACATCAAGTTAAGGAAAAAGGAGTAATGAAGGGACTCATTTTTTGGTATTCGTTGTGTTAATTAGTGTACTAGTACTATTCTTGTAGCATTGCAGTCTGGCTTGGGAAAAATACTGTCACAGTTTTCTCAGCAGTTTCTTACCCTAAAATCTCAGACATCCCTTCTTGGCTATCATTCTGTCTGTTACCACTTTTTAAATCTTTAGTTCCTTTGATTACTAATGAATAGCATAACTCTAATAGTATATTGGACATTAAAGAGAAAGCAGATTTCATAGAAATTTTCTTATGGGCTTCTTTTTAGGAATATATATTTGGAAATGAGAGCATGGACATGAATATATAGTTCAAGTGAGTTGAATTTTGTTCATTCAAACATTCTTACAACAGTTTTTGTTGTTCCTTCTTAAAATTTAAGTTTTTTGCCTTAAGTTTTAGTGAAAGTTGTCATCTAAGTCAATGATCCATATGTTTTTTGCAAATAAGAGACCAGGGGATCAACCGCAATTAAATATCATGTATTTTCTTAACACCTGCATAAATGTGTCAAATTTCTAAATAAGTGAATAATATAATTAGTTGCATTCTGATAATTAATATAATGTGGATTTGTGTACGCATCTTTTATATATTCTTGTAGTCATTTGCTTTGATTTTAAAAGATGTATCAATTTTTTTTTTAAAGATGGACACAACACCTTTATTTTGTTTATTTAGTTTTATGTGGTGCTGGGGATGGAACCCAGGGCCTTACACATGCTAGGCAAGTGTTTTACCACTAAACTACAACCCTAGCCCCAAGATGTATCACTTTTTATTATACCTTACATAAAAGAAGTGTTTCTGAGGCAGAATGAAACTTATCCCTTGATTCTCTTGATTTCTTTTTTGTTTATCCTTCTAAAAAAAATAGAAGCTTCATTATCTGTGTTTATTTATGAAAAAATGAAGTATGTGGTAGGAAATGTATATCCAAGTGTTGTGGTTCCCGATAGCCTTTCTGGTTTTAAATCAGCTTCTCCCATAATTGACTGGAACACAGCTGAAAAAAATATTAAGCTGCTTTTGTAAAGAGGAATTTGGTAATTTCAGTGAGCTACTAATATACATAGACATATTCTGATACAGAATAGGGATTTAATATACTGTCTTATAAGGGAGAGGTCTGTTAAAAAAGAATACTTAAGCAACATAATACTCATTTCTGTCAACTGAAGTGCTCATAATAGATTATAAAATCTACCCAGTCCTACCAGATAATAATCCTTTAAACAAAGTAATTATCACCTCTGAGTAATTGACCATACCAAAGCTTGCAAGTGATTCCAAAGACTTTTTAGCATCCAGGCCTGATTTTATAAGCCAAGTGAAAAGGATTCTAGGAAAAATCTTTCACTGGCACTTTTATGAATGATTGCTTAATTCCTACAAGTAGTATCACTTGTATTTTTAGAAGTCCTATGTAAGAAATTTGAAAGATATTAAATTTTAAGACAAATTATTTTGCCAAGAATAAAAAAGTCAAGTAGTAGCAACACTCACCCACCTTCACTAACCAGCTCACTATTGTCTGATTGCTTACAAGAGATGATCTTCTCCACTAGTTGGTTGTAGCTGCAGTTACCAACAGCTTTTACAATGTCATCAATCTAGAAAACAAATGACTATCTCACTAATCATGGTAAATTAGAAACAATAACAAAGAAATCCAAATCACTTTTTTAAGATTTTTATTCTAATACAATAATAAATATAAAAGTAATACTTATGAAAAAGAAAATCAGCACTGAAAACAACACAAAACAGTTTCCAATTTTTTTATAGCTTGATGTAATACATTATATAAGATACTACAAAGTTGTATTTCAATTATGCAAAAATTATAAAATCAGATTATCACATGCAACTTTATTTTTTGTTTATTGTTTGTTTTTTGAGGTTCTGGGAATTAAACCCAGGGTCCCAAGCACTGAGATATACCACCAGTCCTTTTTATTTATTCTAAGTTGCCCATGCTGGCCTTGAACTTGTGGTTCCCCGGCCTCAGTCTTCCAAGTAGATGAGATTATAGGTGTGCATCACAACTTTATTTATTAGGGTTAAAAAGATGTACTTAAGTGATTAAAATAAATGTGGTTTATTTCAATAGGAAAAATAAAAAAACTGCAGTTTATTTTAACTAAAAATGGCTCACATTTAAAGCAAGGCAAATATAAATTTCCTAATTCATAGGGTTAACAAAGTCCTTCCATTTTATTTATTATTTAGTTTCTAGAAAAGCGTAGTGGAAATATGAACATATATAACTAATGTTGTTTTCCTGGAGGAAGGTTAATATATATTAATCAAGAACAACATTTGCATCAGGATTCTTATTTAATCTTTGTCTTTACAGGTATAGAAGGAAAGTAAATTCAAACTTTTAAGCTTTAAGAAATGTAATTGGGTGTCTGTACTTTCCTTCCATTAATCTTTGCTTTGACTATTGAAGAAAAAAAGTTTCTGTTGCCCAAACAACTTTATCTTCGTATCCTTAAAAAATACATTTATATTTACTTTTAAATTATATACATGCATCATGGTATTAATATGTTAACCACACAATAAAACAAAAATACAAATTAAATAATGATGCAAAGAAAAATAATCGAAAAATAAGAAATGTTTCTTCCTACATCTAAATGATCATTTTGAATATTTATTCTTTGAATATCATAGTTCTTTTTTTTTAAAAAAATATTTATTTATTTTTTAGTTATTGGCGGACACAACATCTTTGTTTGTATGTGGTGCTGGAGGATCGAACCCGGGCCGCACGCATGCCAGTCGAGCGCGCTACCGCTTGAGCCACATCCCCAGCCCTGAATATCATAGTTCTTGACATATATCTGTGCAAGTAATACTCTGGATGGCGCCTCTCAAACAAGGGGGTTAATTTAAAAGATCTAAAAAAGTTCCAGGCTCAGGTTACTTGATCATAAGTTCAAGGGCAACCTGGGCAACTTAGATGACCTGTCTCAAAATAAAAAGGGTTGGATTTGTAGCTTAGTGGTAGAGAACTTGCCTAGCATGTAAGAGGCCTTAGGTTTGACCCCCACTACCACACACTACAATAAAATAAAATAAGAGAAAGTAAAGTAAAAGAAAAAGAAAAACCCAAAGCAGGAAGTTGTGGGAAATGTTATATATGTATCTTATACATTTCATGTTAACTTAAAATACAAAGATGTACTCACTTTTCAGTCTTTTGATGGAAAACCAAATAAGATCTTTTCTTTGAGAGAAAATCCTTGGGCTATTACTCTATGAAAATCACACACAAAAAAAAAACCATATCTATGACTTCTATTTTTGATTCCTTCAACATGAGAACTTAGATGCTTAATTAAAAATTTAAGGGCATGATATTTTTGGATGGTCATTATTTTTCTCAAGACCTTTATTTATTTTTTTAAATTTTCTTTATTTTTTATATTTATTTTTTAGTTATAGGTAGACACAATATCTTTATTTTATTTTTAGCTGGTGCTGAGGATCAAACCCAGTGCCTCACGCATGGGAGGCGTGCACTCTAACTTTGAGCCACAACCCCAGCCCAAGACCTTTATTTTTCTCAAGACTATTCATAGTACTTTTCTCCATTAAGTTTTCCCAAAGAATCTAAAGTTTTAATTCTAAGAAATACATACAAATATGACTAGAGTGGCTCAGTGATTAAGAACTCATGGGTTCAAAAATCACAAAAATCTGACTAGAATAAAATAAATATATGAACACCAATTAAATTTAAAACAGACTAGCAACAAATAATACAAAATTTCAAATTTCTATAGGCAGAATATCTACATTCATACTTCATTAATTTATTTGAGTGCCTATTACATACCACTATGTAACATGTGCTGTTAGAGAAGCTGTGCACACAGCAGTGAACAAAACTGTCTGTGTTTTCATAAAGATTACATTTTAGAGTAAAAAACAAACAATAGATCAAATAAACAAATATATAATTTGCTAGGTAGTTGTGTGTAGTGTGTAACTGCTGTTTGTTCATTTTCATTGTAGTACAATATTCCAAAATATGAATATACCACAATTATTTCATCTTTTGGTGGTTATTTGAATTGTTTCCAGTTTGAGACTATGGCAAATAATACTGCTATGAACATTCATGTACATTTATCCTATTTCACATGGAGAGTGTGTGAACAGGATAAATGTACATGAATGTTCATAGCAGTATTATTTGCCATAGCATATAATACTGCTAATAGCATCTAAGTTCTCATGTTGAAGGAATCATTGTTTCCCAGAGTATATGGCTAATTTCCATTCTTATTATCAGGATCTAAAAATTCACAATGTTGAAATCTTCTCCAGCATTCAATATTGTTAGACTTTCACATGTTGGCCAGCTTGACAAGGTTATAATGGTATCTCATTTTTATTTCAATCTGTATTACCTTCATGACAAATTTGTAAGTTCATTGGCCATTTGAATGTCCATTTTTGTGAAATGTCTGTTTGATCCTTTTTTTTACTGAGTTGTCTACCTTTTAAAAAATCATTTCTGGGAGTTCTTTATACCTTCTAGATATTAATCTTCTATAAGTTGCAGTCATGTACTCTGTGGCTTGCTTTTACATCCTCTTTGGATGACTTTAGATGAACTCAAATTCTCAAGTTTAAGGTAGTCATGTTTACTAATGTTTCCTTTATAGGTTAATGGATTTGTGTTTAGAAATTCCTCCCTATTGTTGGGTCTCAAACATTTAGTTTTATATTTGTTTTTTTAAATATTTATTTTTTAGTTGTAATTGTACACAATACCTTTATTTTATTTATTTTTATGTGGTGCTAAGGGCCTCACACGTGCTAGGCAAGTACTCTACTACTGAGCCACAACCCCAGCCCCTAGTTTTATTTTTTTTTACAGTTAAACTTTAATGCACATGGAACAGAATCATTATTGTGTGAATTGTGGAAAACAAATTTCATTTTTCCACTATGGCCAACAAATTGTCTTGGCACCTTTTATTGAAAGAATTGCTCTTCCCTCTTGCTCTGTAATGCCCTATTTCTGTCTACATAAGCATAGTGGTTTATTTTTGGGGGGTGGAGTGGCTCTATTCTCTGGTCTAATTCTTAATTATAATATTAGCTATTTCATATATGGAAAAGTATGTCCTCCCTACTTGTTCTACTTCAAGAATATCTTGATGTTTATTACTGGCCTTTTCTACTTTTATATAAGTTATTAAAAAAAAAAAACATGTTGGGCTGGGGATGTGGCTCAAGCAGTAACGCTCTCACCTGGCATGTGCGGGGCGCTGGGTTCAATCATCAGCACCACATAAAATAAAGATGTTGTGTTCACTGAAAACTGAAAAATAAATATTAAAAAATTCTCTCCCTCCCCTTAAAAAAAAAAATGTTGCATTCCACAACTCCCTGCTCCTAAACCCTCCCCCCACCACCCCCCCCATCTCACCCAGTTTACTGGAATTTTGTTTGATTGTACTTTTTGGAAAAACTGGAATCTTTATAATTCCAGTCTTGAAATTTAAGAGCACCATATCTCTGTATTTTATATGGGTCTCTAATTTCTTTCAAATATAAAAATTATTTCCAAAGCCACGTATGGTAGATAGCCTATGCCTGTAGTCCCAGGTACTTGGGACCTGAGGAGGAAGGATGGCTTGAGTTCAGGAGTTCAGGGCCAGCCTGGGCAACATAGTAAGGTAATGTCTTTTAAAAATAAATAAATAAAACTAAAAAAAAAAAATTATTCTCATAGATGTCTTGTGCATCTTTTTGTCACATTTATTCCTAGGAACTTATGCTATATAAATAATGTTTTAAAATTTTCACTTTCTATTTATCATTTAATCATTTTCAAAGAATTTTAGATTTGCTCATCTTCCTTATGTTTACTTCCTACTTTGATACTTTCTGCTTTATTAAGATGGATATACAGTTCATTCATTTTTAGTCTTCTCCTTTAATATATGAACTTAAGGTTTAAAGATCTCTCTAAAAACTATTCTGGTTAAATCTCACAAGTTTTTTTTTAATATTTATTTTTTAGTTGTAGTTGGATACAATGCTTTTATTTTATTTATTGATTTTTATGTGGTGCTAAGGATCAAATCCAGGGCAAGCACGCGCTAGGCGAGCATTCTACCGCTGAACTACAACCCCAGCCCAAATCTCACAAGTTTTAATATGGATTTAGTTACTATGTAATTGAAAATATATTCTAAATTACATTATTATTTTCTTGACCCAAGTAGTTTCTATTTATTGTTTTTCTACTGATTTCTAGATAAATTGCACTGTGGTCAGAGAAAGAAAATTTAATCCACTAGAGAAGACTAGAAAGATAGGCTGATTAAATGCAATATGATATCCTGGATTTTGGAACACCATCAACAACAAAAAAAAATTGGTGGAAAAATATGTGAAATTTGAATGAAGATTATAATTTAGTTAATATAGTGATGTACCAATATGAAATTCCATACATGTATCATGGTCATATAAGACATTAACATTAAGGAATTCTAATATCTTTCCAATTTTCCTATAAATCTGAAATTGTTCAAAAATAATAGAATTGTGAAAGAATGTAAATTTATTAGATTTTTTT